GGGGATTCCGCGGAGTATCCAAGCGTGCGAGGCAGGAAGGTGGAATGGGCATAAGAGCCATGGAAATATGCCCAGAAGAGCATGCGGTGAAATAAGACCAGCTCCACACTCAGAAGGAGAGAGAGAGTGTGTGTGTGAATGGAATGCTATGTTTCTCTAGGAAGGGAGTCTGGGACTCCCGTGATGCTCATCACAATTCGCTGTTTTCCATCTGTTTGTGTGCTGTTGTTGTTGCTGCTCGGGCACCTGCTTTGTTTGCGAGGCTGGCGAGACGCGCATCCCCCTCTTTGTTTCCTGCTCTCTCCTCTTCTCGCTGTGCTGCCCCCCCCCCCCCCCCCCNCCCCCCTGCCTGAAGCTGCGCAATGACGGTTGAGGCAACGACGAAGTCCGGCGACACGCTCCAGCTGGACGTCGCGCAGGACACCGGCTTCGGCTTCTCCCCGGGCGAAATTGTGCATTTCTCGAAGAGCCTTCGCAACGGCAAGGTCGCGCTGATCCGCGGCAAGGCGGATGGGCTGCTGTGGTTCTCCGTCTTCAGCACCGCCGAGGAGGCGGCGGCGCCGGAGGCCCTACGCGCCCCCGTTGACACCGCCAGCTGCCGCGCAAGGGAGGAATTCATTCGGCAGTTCGGGTGGGTGCTCGACAGCAAGACGAATGCCGCGGCGCGAGGCGAGGTGTAACTCTGCGCGGCGCGCCGTTTTAAGGTGTTGTAACTTCTCTCCTCTCCTCTCCTCTNAATGCCGCGGCGCGAGGCGAGGTGTAACTCTGCGCGGCGCGCCGTTTTAAGGTGTTGTAACTTCTCTCCTCTCCTCTCCTCTCTCGGCGTCGGTGTGGCTGTGCATCTGTGTGTGTGTGCGTGAGGAAGAGAGAGGGCGGGAATCTCTGTCTGTGTGTTGGTGATTGTTGATGAGGCATACTCCTGTTGGGCGGCCCGTGGGAGCGTGCGCATTGCAGGCTCTCCTATGTGTTGCTGCAGGTGCGCGCAGTCTCCTGTGTCCTTTTTGCTCTTTCCCCCCACCGTTCTTTCACTCGCTTGCTTTCTGCTGCTGTTCTTCTCTGCTGTTGCCCTCTCGCAGTGTGAGTAGCGATAGGAGAATGCTGCGCAGGAGCCGTGCGGCGCCGTACTACTGGTCGCGCTACCGGATGCCGACGCAGATGCCGCGGTTCGACGGCCCTGCCCCCGTTGCGGCGCCGCAGAACATGAACAGCACCAAGACCAACGAGTTCATCGACCCTATCGACGACAAGTTCCCGTTGAGTATCCGTGGCCCGCTGGTGCGGCCCGATGTGCCGGAGGATCAGTACGTGGACAGCTGGTACGTGTGCACGTCCATGACACACCACCTTGGCGACTACCGCCCGTGGAGCGCCAGCGCGCCGCCCAACGCGTACCGCTTCCGCCCATACAACGAGTTCGACGCGAAGGGGCGGGAGTACGTGCAGCACATGCGGCAGTTCGCCCGTCACGACCCGCGGCGGTCGCGCGGGAAGGGCCAGAAGGGCTTCCCCTTTCGCGACGCGTACCTGACGAAGATGAACGAGGCGAACAGCACAACACCACCGCCGACGCTGGAGACCACCATGGACCGCGCGGTGCGGGAGCAGCACCAGCACGCGCGCGTGTTGAGCCCACTGGAGGAGCAGCGCGACGTGGGCCGCTGCGAGAAGCCGCTGCCG